TCCTTTTTACTCAGTCTTTTCCAATAACTGCTATGGATTTTTTTCAGTTCCTTTGCTACCAATCTTTCGGGAGGACATTTGTGGAGGTGGGAACATTCTAATCCACACTCTTCTTAGTTTATATCTAAAGACAGATCAATACAAGAATAGATGGGAAGTGAGAAGCTGATCACTTCTGTGATAAGTCACACTTTCTGTTACTTTCCTTATCAGAAAAAAAATCTCCCTTAAGATTAGCCCATTTCTATCACTTAATGTTATGCTTCATAATAGCCAATGACTATTTCCTCTCTTTTCCTATTCCCTCTCTAAAGCATAATTTTTGATAAAAAATCTGGACTGTGTGTAGTACTGAGTGTAGACTGCAGTAATAACACCTTATTCCAGTTGTAAAAATGTTTCCTTCTGGGAAACACTGTTTCAACCAGCCTACAATGACACAAAAAATGGTCAGACTAAAACCATATAAAAGTTTTGTTCTCTGGAGCTAATTTCTGCTGGTTAGATGCTATTAAAAATCACTTTTATATGAGTTAAAGAAATTAAGTTTAAGGGGTGTTTATTCATAATTTAAGTTAGTTAATAATAGAAAAGTAATATGGAGAGAAACTGACACAATCCATTTCCATTAAAGTAATGAAAATTGTGATTATGAGCACATACTTCATGTTAGTAAGAAACTAGAGCTTTTAAGGCCAGACCCTGCACTTTCAAGAATTTGTATTTTAAAAAGAAATACAGACACGTAAATGTCATTCAAGATCTCAGATCATTAAAATGCCATTTAAAGATCCTGGCAAGATCTTTCTTAGTGCTAATTACAAGACAGGGTATGAAGCTAAATAATATCACTTGTGATAAGTCCTATGAAGGCTCTCACCTACCAGAACTTCTGATATTTGCTTGTATTACTTTTTTGCTATTTGATGTGCTATTGGTATATCTTATTTCTTCTTTAATTTTTAAAATTAATTTAGTATTATAAATGTTATTTTGCCTTTTCTCCTGATTAAATTTACAAAATAGCTTTTAAAAGGCAATTACTTTCACATTTGCTTCTGCTCATTCAAGTATCATAAACAGCTAACACTGCATTTTAACACACAACATAAAACATATATATTATTAAGGGAAAGTGTTGGAAAAGGGCACACATTAATTCATTTCAATTAATGAGTTCTATCCTCTAATAATTGATGTCTAGCATTCCTCCTTATATATTTCTAATTAATGCAGCTTCAACAGAGCTGCAAATATGCAGTTAATCATTAAAAATAAGAGTTTTATCAATTCAAAAAACTTTTTTGAACACCAGTAAAATTATTTTCATTATTTTTATTATTTTATTTATTATTTTATTATAATTGTTTATTATTTTAACAGATATTTTAAGACATAGATGGGCAGAGAGATTTCTCTTTAGCATAACCAGTGTAATATCCTGTTTTGTGTAGACAAAAACAGTGACAAGGCGAGAAAGGAAAAGTATCTAACCATATTTATTGGATATCTAACTAATCTGTCTAACTGTTAGCTAAAAATGAGATTTTATCTGCACTGCTTTTCCTTGACCATGCCTGATGACCAGAAATGATACATCATTCAGTTAATGGGCTATCACTTTAGGAAAATGCTTTTCTGGATGAAATTATGGAAATCAAAGAAGGCAAATGATCAAATACACTCAGCTGAAAGAACAAAGAGGTTCGGAGCAGAGGTTTATAAAAATTAAATTTCCTAGCTTTTTTTTTTCCCCAGGTTTTCAGTCAAAAAATCATACACATTTTGAGGATCAAAAATAGAAAAAGCCTGTCTGGAAATACATTGCAAACAGATTTAACACAGCAGCATCAGCTTTGAACTCCATACATCCGCATTTTACACCAGGTGTCCCTGTAGATCACTGCGAAACTACTTGTAACCCGTCTTTACCATGTGTCCACAGTAATCCTGAAGGGTCAGACAGTAGAGCTGAGATAACAAAAGTAAATCTGGCACACTTTTTCTCTCTCTCTCTCTCTCCTCATCTCTCTCTCCTTTACTCTCTCTCTCTCTTCCCCTCTCTCTCTCTCTCTCTCTCTCTCTCTGCTCTCTCTCTTCCTCTCTCTCTCTCAACATGCACTTTTTAAAATTTCCTTTGCAGTTTATGCTTTCAAGAACAGAATTAAATACTTTGTGGCTTTCAACAAGTCTATAAAATAGTATAGATTAGACCAAAGCAAAAGCACCACAGGAAGCCGAATGTTTTTCTCCTTTGAGACAAGGGGAGGGAATAGGAGTCTGAAGTGCTAAGAGGGAACAGACTGATATTTGGTCATATTTATATGACCAAGTAAAGAGAGTTAAAAGAAATATACAAAAATTTCAAGAGGTAGAGTAATGAAATTGTGTAGTAAGAAAATATTCATGTTTGTTGTAAGCCTGAAACTAGAACATTAGAAATTAAAGAGGAAAAGGGGCATCTTCTTTTATCAGAAATGTTTTATATTTTATAAATGCGTAATATGGAATCAGTTTCAAAAGAAACAACACTGAAAATAAATGCCTGAAGAAATGAATTTCAACAGCTTGTTTTCTGAGGAATAGCACATCCTGAGGCCTCCACTGACAAGCTGGGGTGCTTAATTTAGACATTTGATGCTAACATGGAGTCAAACAGCTCAAAGTAGATTTTACCCTGCGTCTTTACAGTGCTAGCAGATTGGAGAAGACAATTGTTTACAGTAAATATACTTCAGTTTCCAGCTGGAACCTCTGACTGGACAATCTTCTCCCACCATTTCATATCCACAGGAAACAGAAGCTCTTGCAGCCTGTTTTGCACAGTCCCTGGTGACTAAGGTAGCAAAGAGCAAGAGGACAAGGACAAGAAAGGATTAGAAGATGAGGACAGTGGGGATGAGGAGGCTGTGGGCAAGATCTATGATTCATGCTGGGGAAAAAAGGGCTGTGCATGAGAAAAAAGAGGCTCTTGTGATTTGTAACAGATAAAATGTTTCATTTTTCTTCATTTTTAGAGAAAAGATGTAAAAATACAACTCTATAACTTGTTTGGGTGTACACAGTGTCTGAATTAGAAGCTGTATTGTAAAGAATAATTAGTAAAATACAGGAAACTAATACTGACTGATAAAAGATGGGGAGCAGCAACACTAAAAATAAAAATCTACAAGAGATTGCTCCTGCAGTAACACTGATTTCTCCAACAGTGATAACAGCTGAAGGGCTAGAGAGTGCAATGTGTTGAGAAGGCAGGACTTCAGGCACTGAAGTGATAAATACTGAATATGATGAAAGCCAGTATTACATATTCTAACAATACTAACATCCATTTCTTGCAAGAAATCCATGAGGGAGCCATAGAACTTAAAACCTAAGAGTTTAGAATTTGCTCTTGTTGTAGCATTTGACATTCCTATAGACGCTATGGAATAAATGGCTAATATCATGATGCAATACATGGCTTTCCACACTACAAACTTTTAAAAAGTTTACTTATGAGTATTTCTACCTTTGAATTTGCAGAAATAATTTTTCTGCCAACAATAGAAATCTTTCCTTGATATTTTCAGAGAAATAATAATTTAATGAGTGGTTTTAAGGCTTTTTATTAAAAAAATAACAGGAAAATTAATGCTTTTCCCAGGTCTGCTTTTCAGTTTCAAGTCTTTATTTCCTTTTTGACATTAATTTTCCAAAGCAGATTTTCAGGATGCAAACACAAAACCCCCCTTTACATACATTTAAAACCTGATGTTTTTGCAACTGCTAAAAGGTTGCATAGTTTGGGCTAGGGGTTTAGGGGATTTTAGTTTGGTTCCATTTTTTTAAAAAAAGAAGTTGCATTTAAAAGCATTAAGACCATTTTGGTGCTGTGCTGTATGCCTGCACATATTTATAGAAAAAATAGTCCAATCCCCCTCTGCATATATCTCTTTGTCCATTTATAATGTATACAGGGGCATTCTTAGGTTTAGAAGAAATAATCATTGCTGAACAACATAATCTAAATGTCTAAAGCATCTGCTGTGTTGTCTGCATCCATTATTGGTATTTAGTTTATGTAAAGTTCTACATCCTTACCATTTTAATGGGGAAAGGCTGAAAAGCTCAAAATATGCAGTGGATGTGGAAGAAAAATGAGCATGCTGGACTTATATACTGTAGAGTACCTTGTAGACTTGATTTCATTCATTTCTTTGTTTCATACTGATGTAAATTAGGCATGATTTGACTCAGAGCATTGACAGTGTGGATGTTCATATGAATTAAAAATAAATTTTAAAGAAATATTCCTCCCCATCTGCAATTCATTTTAAGATAACAGTAAGTGTTTTCAGTTTAAAGAATTTAGTTTGAGTTTTGTGCTATTTATGATATGTTTTCCATTCTTAGTGTGATGCAATGCATTTTTATTCAATGCCGTACCTCAAGGTTTTGTAATGTTGTTGCATTATATGTTAAAAGTTCCCTGTCCCTTGATTTCGTATTAATTCAGGCTCCATTTCCTCTTCAAATAATAGAGTTAAAGAATGCCTAAAAGTCACTTATTAAAATATATGTTAATTTTAACCTGTTAAAAATATGCTAAGTACATAGTTTGATGTACCTTACAGAAGGCAAATAACCAAATGAGTTTTTTCTTTTACCTTATCTTAAAAAATAATTAACTTCAAATTTTCCACACCTTTCACAATTCTGACCTGTTTTTACTCTCACAAGAAAACTGTAATTATTTTGAAATATGAAAAAACTTATAGAGCCTAATAGAAAAATATACAAGATCACTGTGACATTAAAAGAAATTGGCAAAATCACTAACAATGCAGAACAATTTCCCCGCACGTATCTTATTCATGTCATTAGCAACACTGATGGTGCATGAAGAAGTTATATACACATTTTTAAAAATATATCAAAGCCCAAGACTGAAGCACTTTTCTTGTGCTCCACTTACTACTTAGGGGAAAAAATAAAATCAAAGTACAAAACTGGCTTACTTCCAATATGATCAGCACGTAGACACCTACTAAGATGATGGATGCAACTGTTACTTGTGCCTCTATATTTGCATGAAGGTACTGATGCTTCATGGAGAGAGGAACACTTCCAGACTCCTGCAGGAAAGCTTGAATGTTTATGAAAATGGTGCCTCTGGTGAAAGAAAAAGAAGTTTTGTCTATTCCTGGAATGAAATACTTTTTGTTTTATTTGTACATTAATTTTATATTGAGTACTTAACAATATACTTGCTATATCTTTACAAAAGCAAGCAACTCCTCAAACATTTTCAAACTCTATCCCTCTAGAAAGTATTGTTTAGAAATTAACTCTCAAGTACAATCTAGTCTTCTAAATACTTTTAAAGAGCATCAAGAAGTCATCCTTTCCTGCCCTTCTGAAAAATGCAGTGATAACTATTTTTAAAACATCTTAGTCAAGTCTGTGGAAACTACTCCTTTAATGCATCATTTTTCAGTCTTTCAGCCAACCTGTTTGGTATCTGAAAGGTTCTAGTTGTGATGATCTGCTGATTTCTTCTTGAACTTAAGGGTAGAGACCAGTTGTACACCACCTGCAAGAGAGTCATATTTAGCAGTAGTAGCAAAAGTCAACGACAGTGATATGTCTCTGATACAGGGTTTTATTCTTCTTTTTCTCTCTTCTGTCCATTTTTGAGGTTTTTGTGGTAGATCAGGCATAAAATCAGCCTAAATTAATTCCCCCTGATTATGTTTGTTACAGGTGCTCAGGTTTAATCAAACTAAATCATCCTCATACTTTCACTCAATCAATGAAGTGAGAGACACCTCCAGGATGTCCTCCAGAGGGAGGATGCCAAAACACCTTACATTGAATGTAGAGAAAAAAATCTTAATGCACAGGAATCCCAGAGAAGCCTTGTAAAGACAAAATAAAATGCAACTTTAATTAGAGTAAGTTTTCTAATGCTTAAAATTGAAACACCTTGCAGCAAGAAAAAAGCATGGCCACTTAATCCACACAGTGGTGATGGAAATAAGTGATAAAACAGATGCCAGAAAAAGTGAAAGAGAATTTAAAGACTATCACCTGCTGCTGGCGCCTCCTCCTTGATCCTGTGTCTTCATTCTGGCTGATTTGCACTACGATGTATTCCTCTGTTTGCTCATCAACTACTTGTGCCCCAAATGGGCCTCCTATGTCTAACTTCAACAGAGCAGAATCACGAAAGTCAGTCAGATTCATAGCTGTTAATAAAGTTGTTAAGGTGAAAATTTCCAGTAAAAATGAGTATAGGCTGTACACGTTCCAGGAAAAAAAAAAATAGTCAATTTATATTGAAAAAATATATTTTTCAGCTAAAATGCCTCAGGAATTTTGAAAAGGACAAAACAGATATCTGCTTCCTCACCAAGTAGTACTGTTTTGACTGTTTCCTAATAATAAAAGAGCTTTAAGTTCTGAACAAATATATCTTCCCTAGTGATTTTTGGGATTACCAGTGCTTTCATCTGATGTATCAAAGCTTCAAAATAGCATACAGAAATACACAGACAGAGAGGTAAAGCTCTTTAAATACTGGTACTAAATGAAAGACTACACCATTAGCTCAGCAATTTAAACATCACAAAACTTGTACTGGTGAAAACGATGTAGAAACTGCAGAGGACTTTGCCTGATGATTTGCTTTTTGGTCAAAGTTTTGCTCACAATGTTACAAATATCCAAAAGATATTTTCAACCTCCTCTCAGCTGAAGCACTCACAGACTCTTTCACCCTCAGTTCCCTCATCTACTTCTTTTTTCTTGAGATATCTCTCATGAGGTGTGGTCAAACTATACTCCTAGGCTAATATAATTGATAAAATCAGCCAACCATGATCCACAAATCCATTGGAAGTCTGATTGTATTAGTCCCAATATATCTAGGGCTTTTTAAACCTAGTGTTGTAATAGTCCTCTTCTGGCATGGTTGAAAAATGCATCCTTGTGGCTTGGTGGGGGGTGAAGGGAGGGGACGAGGAAAGCCCAAGCTTTCAAACCCTTCACAGTTTGTTTGTTACTGTAGTAGAGTAACATCATAATTTTTTTCCTCCTATCTGTGTCAGATTGAAAGCTAACACATCACCAACAAAACAAAAAATCAAACAAACAAAAAAACTACTTAGTTTTACACATACATGTTCCATTGAAATCACAAGACTTAATCACATATTTGAATATCTCATGGTTTTAACATCTAATATTTTATTGAGCATACTACAAAGAGAGAGAAAAATGTACCAGATATATACCCACCAAAATAATTTTCCCAAAAAGATGCTTTGTAGCCCACAAATCTCAGAGACTTTGACAGGAAAAGAAAAAACCCAGGGCAGTTAGAGGACTCAGGGCAGTGTTGAGCTCTGTCCTGCTTCCAGTGACCCACAGAAAGATCATCCATACTAAGTCAGTGTCTAATGGGGAAAGATTTGGGAGATTATGGGGTCCTTCTGGATCTAGAAAAGAGCAATCTCCCACAGTAACCGAAAGAAAACCCCTAGATCTAGTACCAGGTGGGCAGCCAATGCACTCAAAGTAATATAGATGTCACCCTGCTTGGCAAGCCGAGCAAACACCACCAGTGACACTCACATGCCATTAATTAAAAATCTAAGCTTCCAAGTATCTATTTTCTTAAAGGAATCACACAGGAAAGGATAAAAAAAGTAATCTCACATGGAACAAATCAGGAGACAAGTCCAGCCAGGAGAATTTGCACACACAGCTCTTAGCAAACATAAACAACAACAGTTCTCCTTCTGAAACTTTCAAATATGATTTGGCATCACAGATTTTCTGTGTCATTAGTTGCTATATAATAGGAGTCTCAATAGGAGCTATAGCTATACCTTTAACTAGAGACATTAATTCAATCTTCTAAAAGGTCTGCTGACCTGAAGTCATTAACCCTATAGTTTGGGACAACTTTTGGTAGTCAGTTTTTTACAAGGAGTGTAGCCACTTATGTTTTGAAAAGCTTCAGGTGCATATAATTATGGCAGCTTCCTTTTAAGGAATACTTTTAAAATAAATCTGTAATTACCTAGATGACACATTCAGGAGCTATTAGAAAGGATGTCTAAAATTAAACCTTGTTTTCAAAAAGAGTGGCTCTTTTCATCTTTTTTTTCCTCTACAGATAAGGATACTTTTCCCTTTCCATTCTGTGCACTTATAAAACCATTATAAAGAGACATAGAAAAAAAAAAAAGAAAAAGAAAGGTTCTTCTTTGATTGCAAGTGCAACAGAACATCATTCACCAGCCTGCATTGAGGCTCTCAAATCTCATCAGAGTTATCTTTTTCCAAACAATATTTAGGGACTCTGTCATAATTCCATTGTTAGACTACAGCCTTTATGAAAGGTGGAATCATAATAAACCAGAAGAAAACTTCAGACATGCTTACATGAAAAAAAAAAAGATTTTTTTTTATCAAGCTGCTCTTCAGAATATTTTTGTTCTGCTTTATCTTGGTTTTATATTTCCCTTAAATTGTCAGAATGTGATTTCTTCTAAATTTTAATCATTCAGATATTTACAATTTTGGGAAAACTCTCTTTTTACTTCTAATATTCCCCTTTATTCTGCAATTTAATCATACTTTTCCTTTCCTGAACTTTTTTTTTTTTTGCAATGTGTCCTTCTGTGTTCCCCTTTAAAGCAAAAAAAATCTTCCTGATGAGAGTTACAGCCAGAGCTGATATTTTTCATTTCACTTCACCTAAACTGCTTCATTTTTATATAGCTCTATTCTTGAAATCATATTATTTCTGTGGAGTAGCCCGTCAAGGGATTTGGGGTTGTTCTTGCTTTGTGAAGCATTACACTGTGGCTGTCTGTATTTACACCTGGCACCAGAGCAGGTCTGCTGCTCCCAGCTGAACCAAGAGCTGCAGTTCCTGACCCTGGTTTTCTGAAAAGGTTTTGAGGAGTATGCGAGTCACCTCATGGTACTTTATGTTTATGGGATGCAGCGGCTAAACATTTAATTGGTATTCATTCTCCACAGTTCATGCTCCCGTACTTTACTTCCCTAAAAACAGTGATAAGAAGGTGCTTGTAAGATGGAATTCATTGCTTCATTTTGGACCACTGCCTGAAGCTGAGAATAATTGCTCATGAGGAACATCCATTCTCTCTATTAACTATAAAGAGAGACTAGGATGACTAACTCAAGAGTAGCTGTGTGAGTCCCTGCTCTACCCTCCATCATTTCATTATTTCAATATGTACAGAGGCAGCCAAAAAGCCCTGTTTGACAGAGATTCTCTGTTGTATTTGCACACAGATGGCTCCCTTTATGCTTTCTTTGACATCTATTTGTATATCCTATTCTGTATACTGTAGAATGTACCTTGAGAATGCTGTGTCTATAGCTCATTTTTCAAAAAAGTCTCTGAGGTAGCTATAAACCATTCATGCTGATTTATGACCAGGTCACTTATACTAGTTTCTCTAGGGTATTACCAGTTTAAAGAAGGCCTTTTCCCTGGGTCTTAGCCTCCATTTTTGCATATTGTCCTTAACTGGTGTTATTCCTGCATTATCATTTGTGCTTTTCTTTTCTTTATTTCCTATCTCTGCTTGTAGCTGATGAGCTTTTTTCTGCATCATCCCTTCACAATATAACAAGTTGAACCACACACTTCTCTGTCTTTGTTGGTTTCCCCATCTGACGAATGCTCTATAAACTTTTTATTTTCCCCCTTTTCTGAGTGCCAGTAATCCAGTTCCATTATTGTCTGCAGTGGATACATCCTTTCTCTTTGCTCCATCAGTTCGAGAAGTTCTGTAACAAACAAATTTCTACAGCATTTTATCAATTGTGCCCTGAGATTCTGCTTCTTGGCTGCCTCTGCACGTGGTCCTGGTCTTCATCCATGTATTTAACAGCTTGAACGTTGCCTGCAGGCCTAAATGCTTAGTACATTTCCAACAACATCAAAAACAGAAATTATTTTTAAATGCTTTCTGCAAGGCAAAATTATGGAGGACAATCTGCCAGTAGAGAACTAGAGTTACAAAATAAAATAATATTCAAAGTGGAAAAGGAATTAAAGGGATTAGAGAGGTTTTGTAATTAATTACATTAATTTATGTTCCCTGAGGAAGAACCTTCAAGGAAGCTGAAAATTCTGGCAAAGTATGACTATATTCTTTGCCTCACAGTCCTTCTTTCTATATATACGTCTCTTGTTCAGGGAGTGGGAAACATTGTTTTCCATGTCATTAACAGTCATGGCATGATTGCAAGCTTTCTAGTGACCTTTCCTTGCTGCATGATTAACAGTTGCACCAAGAACACAAATTCATGCAGAAACCATTCTAACTCATATAACTTTAGCAAGGAATTTGATAATAAGGTGTCCAAAGTCTGCTTGTCCTAGAGACTCTTCATCCACATGTGGAATTTTTCTAAATAGTTCCACTGAATCCAATAAAAGAGAAATCTAGCCTATGATTTAAAATTCAACATATTTTTACTATTGAGATACATCTTCTAGTTTCTGAATTTGAGACTTTAATTCTGGAAGTGACAAAATCTCTCATGGAGAAGATGGAGGTACATCCATTAAAATCGCCCCTCTCTGGTCAATTTGATATTTGGTTTTGTCTGATTTGGAGTAAGCAGATTCAGGTATGAATTCAAGTTATGTATTTTTACTGAGTTTTATCTTGAATGTAAAGAGCAAGTGAGAAAGAAACTCTTCACACGGGGTGCTGTGAAAATATGTAATTTTCATAATGTCATCCTTTGCTCCAAAAATTTTACTGGGGAGATATCAAACACCTAAACAATCAGACAATCACATCACAAAGACTTTAAAATATATTATAAAAATGCAAGATCTTTGGCCAGACTCAGGAAGAAGTCACTGTCTACTCCCAAGGTAATTTCTGACAATCTGTCCAAAAAAGGAAAATTAAATTGCTTTGCCCACACTGATCTAACCTTCCCTGACCTATAACATGAATGGGTGCAAGTAAAAATGTTGAGAGGGAAGAAAAGGTTGTTACTGAAGCAGTTGTCAAGGACAGAGTAAAGATGAAAATTCACACCTCAACGAGGTAGGTGTGAGATCAATTGCACAGAAATGAGCAGAAGGCTTACCTTTTTTATAAAAAGAAAATATTTCTACTATTGAGAAGTGTAGAAATAGCTATAACTGTATGAGATAGAGTGAAAGAAAGAAGGCACTGTATCAGGTAGACAGGCATTTCTTTAAATGACAATGAAATATCATACAAAATTTGCATAATTCCTTAAAAGCATGATGAATCCCAATTACTTTTTAATTTCATAAAGCCTAGTTCAAGTCAAAAAGTTAGTGTCTAGTTCAGTTCCAGTTGTCCATTCCCCACTGCTGGATAAAAGTTTAAAATTTGCTTAGATAAAGGCAGTAGTTATTAGAAACAAAGGAAAGAACACAAAGTATATTTAGCACTTCAGAAAATTTTTCAAGTCTGAAAATGTATGTAAGTTGTGGAGAAGAACAAGAATATTTTTCATTCACTCTTTGATCACCCAGTTAATGGAGAGACATTTCCTGAAGGTCTGAATGGCCAAAAAATTTAAGAAAAAATAAGAATGTTCATGTCTTAGAATAGGTACATGTAATTAACCAAGAAATGCTGGAATTTCTTTAGACTCTTTATGTCTTCTTCTATCATCTTAATAATTAAAAATGTTCTCTTCTTAACATACAGCCTTTGAAAAAAAAAGATCTGAAAATGATTCACACATTTTACATCAACAGTGATATTGAATCTTGCTTCCTTCAGAAATTGTCCTCTAGTCAGGTTTCAGAATAAACTTACTTCTTTCTGGTATTATAGAGCTGACTGTTAGAATTTAAAAACCAATAAATCCCAAGTGTTTATCTTCAAAGAGAGACATTACCAGTATTTTGAAAAACTATACTAAAATCACTGAATTTATATTTGGTGCCTATAGGGAAATCACTATCCAAAAAAATACCCGAACCAACCACACACAAAATTGCAAACTCAGAAAGCTTCTATTAATTCACAGCAGACCAGATGTTGTTTCCAGAATCTGCAGCCAGCACTCCTCAGTGTTACATGCCAGTTTTGTACCAATGGGGATGGGTAAAACAATGGGAGATACACATGGACTAATACTGATGGAGGTAATGGGAAGAAAACCAGTTAGAGTAAAACCAAACCAGAGGTATAAAGGTATAGCAACACAAACAGAGATCTCATCTGAAAAGAAGGTCACCTCCACACCATCTAATGAAGGCCTCTCCCAGCACCAGAGAAGGAAAGTCTTGCCTCTGAGCAAACCTGAGATCTCATGGGCATGGCAGAAAAAACAAAAATAAAAAAAGCAGGTGACACCAGGATGACAAATGACATAAAGACCAAAAATAATTACTCAAATTGCTTTTTAAAAATATTACACCTTTTGTTTTGATTTTTCTAGTGTATGGAGATACATTGTATATGTGACCACACATTCATAGCACAGCAATGTGCTTGGGCACTTCTGGAAGGAAACAGAACTGAGAGGAAGGAGTACAAAAAATAAAAATAAATAAATATACAATGGTTAGTACCAATTCAACACTTCTAAACAGCTTTTGAAGCAGAAGCAAGAGGTAAAGTGTGCTCATTTGCATAATTTGACATCATATGAGCTAAGGTACTTATTTTCCACCCTAAGTCTCATATGATTACCTCCAAGGGCTTTGAGAAAAGGACTACTGCAGCACACTTACAAACCTACCACTAAATTCTTATAGTCATTCAGAGAGTAGCAGGTAGTGTCCACTACCTCAGTCTGTCAGCCAGCATAAATTGCATCTTCAGCACTGCTGTCTGAATGGTTAACATCACCTCGGCCTGGCCAAGAAGTGGAATATAAACCACAATACAAAACCACTGTGCAACAAAGTGAAAGACAACCACAAGACATTACTGCTGTGCAAATGCAGACTGACAGCATCAGTAAGAGGACATTCAGGATTGCTGGTGCCTTCTCCAAAACACTTTTAGAAATGCAGTCTTTCTCCTTGACTCTTCTGCTTGAATTACTACATCACCTTGAAAAAGAATGATGGCTTTGCTGGATTGCTTGCCTCTCACTTTCCCCCAGCTCAGTGACATGAGACAGTAGATGAAACATCCAGTTTTCAAGACACATTACACAAACTAAAAAGCTTTAGCTTTGTCAAGTAAGAAATAGAAATACTATATTCTGACTGCCTGACAGCTATTTATCTCAGTGTCCTGACCTGATAGGTAAAATGTGAAATACAGGAACACCTATTTGTCTAAAATCCCAGTCCCAACTATAATTCCCTGGAACAAAGGGAATATTTGGTTGCAGATGTGTACAATGCGTACAATGCAACAGCTATGTGCCCAACCCAAGTCTGGAAAGAGAGGAAATCCTCAATTTATGCTATGACATTTGACTAAGACTTGAACTTAAAGACTCACTTTCAATTCGTCCTCATTTGGCAGATAAGGCTGTGACAGCAGTGATGCTGTTCAACACCACACGACCATAGGAGCTTTCAACAACAGTTTCAAGGAGGACCAAAAACACTGATGTGAACAGGATATTGATGGGAGTTTACAGCTGAAGCTGTCATTGGTCCTACAAAAAGTCCATCTGCTTCCCTCGAAAAAGCAATATCAATCTCAACTTTTAATTATGAATTGCCCTAAAGCACTTTTTTCCTCATTTACCCTACTAATTACTACATTTTATAGTGTCATTATTGGTGACAATGAGAATGCTAATAATTAAATCTATTTCAAATGGACTCTCCCTACCCAAAGCTATGGAATTGACCAGCTATGTAGAAGAACAAAGCATCTCAAAAATGAAAACCTACTGCACCTTTTCAAAACAAGGCACCTTTCACCTTCACCTCGTGAAATGTATCTACAGTGCATCTTCTTTTAACACTAGTGAAATAAGAGTCAAGCAGATTTCAGCCCAGACTGATTAAACTAGAAATAAGGTGGGAAGAAGAAATGTAATTTGTTTGCAAAAGTTATTGTTTGTTTACTAAATGAATGTTCATCCCTCAAAGACTTTTAACATTCAGATCTGTATTCAGCTATGAAAAATAAATTTTATTTGGGGTTCTTTTATTGCTTGTTCCTCTCAACAGTTTCTTGGCCCTAAACAGGTGCCATTCAGTACAACTTAAAGAGGGAAGACTTGGGCCTTTGTCAAAGGACAAGTCTGAACGCAGCCCAGGCTCTGAGGACACCCAATCCTCTCAGGGTATAAGACAGAAAATGCACACCCTTTCAACTACTTTATCAATGAAACTTCAGATCAGAGTTTTACAATGAAAGAAGGATACAGAAGCTTTCCAGAGGTGATACAGCCAACATCTGCCAGGGCATACCTTGATCTGGATAAATGCCAAATAAAATCTAGGGCAAGGATGAAAAAATAAACATTCATTAGTAACACAAAAACTGTAAAAGAACTGCTAAACTTATCTCAAATACTTTAAAAAGACTCTTTGAAATTGCACATACAGTATTTTTAGTTATAATTCCACCACAGTTGAAAAGCATCTCTGGGATACTTAACAAGGGTAAGTAATATGCCTTCTGTTAATTTACAGCCAAAGTCACATATTTTATGCACTTTTTCAAAATGTTCCTTAAGACATTTGTAATCTTCAGGATCCGTCTGGAAAGCAACACCCATACCTGAGGAAATTCAGAGTATCATCTGTTTTCTTCCCAGCAGAAGCCCTGCAACCCAAAATTGAGTTCCTCACAGCCGCTAAAAGAAATAAACTCCAACTTTTTTAAATTTTTCTCTACACTTTCAGTCTAAGATTTTGCTAATTTTGAAGATTTTTTTAAGGGAGGGCAGCACTTTGGCCACCCAAGGGAGATGCCGACCTCCCCATCACCTTCTGCCTTTGACACTGTGAAGCGCTGCCATTGCTGCGGCATCCTCCCCAGCACAGCTTCCCCTATGAGCATTCCTCAGGTGTCAAAAGAGCCATCCTAAATTCAACAAGCATCCTTAAGGGACCTATGAATTTGGGTTTAATCTGCCTCTTCCTCCAACTCAACTGCTTACCCAACCACATTTTCCTGAGGGGTGACTGGAGCAACAAATAGGAGTCTGATTAGGCATGAAGCCCTGCACAGTATTGTCATTTTTGCCTTGAGACATTTTCTGTGTGGTAAGAGAAAATACCAAAGCTCATTTTGAACTAATTCTAAAGAAATGGGGGGCAGGGGAAGACTGAAAATTCAATACTTACAGAGCAGACAACTACAAAGATAAAGAGGCCTGAAACTTTCAGGAATTTTAGGCAACATCTGAAACACAAGGAAACACGTATTTACTATCTGGCTAGTTTAAAAACAATAATTTCTATTCTCTTAACAGCTCTGACATTTCATAAACACCATGGTAAGCACTTATGGGTGATAGTATATCACATCAGAGTACAGACACCACGAAGCAAGGGTTTGGGAGGCCTTGGTGACTACCGGGGCTCCTGCACCCTCTCTGCTCCCAGCATGATCTCAATGCACAGGATGGAGGATTTGGCTCTTGGAAAATCTAAGGGAAAGCTGCAGAATGAGCTGGTGCTGGATCCTGAACCACTTGTCCACTACTGTTGCTGGCCCCTGGCAGACTTAAATCACCCTCAGCTCATTCGTGTCTCTCCCAGAGAGGCAAAGGAGCATTGCTCTCACAGGGAGGTGGCATGGCTGTGATGAAAACACAGCTTGTGGCATAGACAGATAGTGTCATCAGTGACTTCCTCAAACTGGACTTAGAATACACACCCTAAAAAGTATTAGAAAAAGCAGTTTGAAGACAAGAACAAATTTAAGAATCTTCTGGGTTTAACAGTATATTTTAAAACCAAATATACCTCATGAGCATGGATCTACTAACAAAACTAAATCTTTTTTCCATGGCACATCTGTGACCATTGAAGGAATGCCCTGTTCTGAAAATGAGATGCCATAAAATATCCTGAACTGTCCAAACTTACTACTGAGTGGGTTAGGCAAGAATAACTCTAAATTAAAATGTGGATGTTGAGATGTTGAGATAAGGCAAGAATAATTCTAAAATGTGGACATTCTCATGGTCTTGAGAAAGAAATCTTAAAATTTAGTATTTTCAATTTACCATTTTTTAATCTTACTTAAAAGACAACTCAACTAAAAATTTTCTGACTGCCCATCAATGTGTTCTACTGATGCCTTAATTTACAGAAGCCTTTCTGTTGATTTGACCTCGTTACATATTTTCATTTTGAAAGCATCAATATTCTTATTCTATTTTTTTTTTTAAGTAAACATTCAAACCTTGTTTTTCTGACAGAATGACAAATGCAAGGCTTGATTTAAACCTGATGACAGGCAAGAAGGAAAACATTTCAAGTTACCAGGATAATTAGTTGAAAAATGAAGAGTGCAATAAAAAGCTGCATTGACAGATGTTGAAGGACAAAATATTAAAGCAGAATATTCTGAAGAATGTTAGAAATAATTTTTAACCACAGTGGAAGTAAGTCCCTAAGTCAATTCATTGACAAAAAGCAGCATAAATGACTGGAAACACATTTTCCAAAAACAATGTTTTCCAAAGTTTCCCTCCCTTTTTGGAATTTTCCAAACAGCAGCTAGTAAAAATCAGCAGCTAATAAAAATATGTTGTCACAAACTGGTACAAACAGGCTACAGTCCTCTATTTAATACAAGTGGTAACAACTTCACCCAAACTTTGCACAGCATGAAAATCTAGAGAAGGCAGAGGAAGAGGAGAAGGAAACCAGTTAGGTGGCTTCTCCTATGGCTTCTTCAAGTAGCCCTGCTCTACTGAAAAGCAAGATGGCAGAGAGAAGAAAGTAATACAGGCATGAAAAGAATGGAATGATGACACAGGCCATTATCAGCACTTCAACACTGATAACTTAGTTTGGTATTATGTGATTTGTGGAAAATATTTAGTGCCAGCTTAGTCATAGAGCCTCTATCCTGCCTGTCAATTTTACCCATCTCTACATTACAGTTTTGTTCTGTAATTTTGAGAATTTATTTTGTTATGAATTAATAAAGTGTTATCCAGACTGGCTTAATTTTAATGTACTTTATATTTTTTGTTTGCACTTTGGACTTCCAATTTATAATTTATAATATTAAAGTTATTGTTAAAAAACTCTTGATTTTAAGACACAAGTGAAATAAAATGCTAATTAAGCTTTTATAAATTAATAACGACTAGTTTGTAAATAACAAACTCATCCAAAAGAGCTGGCAAGATGTAATAAAAACAAGGTTTTGGAAATGGTTTTAATAAATAAAGAATTTAGAAGGGTCTTTTCCTCCCGTCTGTTTGTTTTCATGGCAATTTTTATTAGGGAAGCAACATTTTTAACAGCTTACATTGAGATGTGATCAGCTTTTGACACACCCGTACTTTGCAATCTGTCTCTTCCTACAGTGCTAATCTGGCACAGCGATGCAAGTACAAGCCCTGTGCCAAATCCTATGCTGATATATGCCTCCAGTACAATCCTATCTGACTTCAGCTGGAAATTCATGGAGTATAAATCTATGAAGAATTTCACCCCCTCTTCTAAGCCAAATGATTTTTGATCTGCATATGGTGCTGGGCAGTTTAGCTTCACTTGCCATCTCAGCAGTGTTATGATTTACAACAGCCAAGGAGCTGATCCCATATGTACAGCTTGCAATGCAGCAGTGAAAATATTTCAGGGAAAGTTCTGCCAGAAAAATGTGCTCCTCCCCAGATTATAAACCTATAATGGAAACAATGACCTATACTGGAACCTATAACCTATACTGGAAACAATGAATTTCACACTCCCAGTAGATACCTTTGTCCCATCAAGTACCAGGGAAATCTACCACAAATGTGAGGAAAAACACCTGCCAAACTTCTTTGCATGTGCTCACATTGCACTAATTGCAGTCATTGGAACTCTCCTGCTCCATTTGTTCAGCAGCAGAGCGGGAGAGCACAATACCGTATGCACAATGAGAAGAAAGTGATGAGCTAATACAACATACAGATTGGGAAAAGATGTACTGACATTCCGCTGGACAGGCGTGGCAGATCAACAAGGAGATGTGGACCTGCAGTGCTGGGCTCCACGAAAACCCTGCAGAGCTATTTACAGACACCAAAACAAACTAGAAAAATAATTGGACCTCTGGAAGGGGCAGAGGGAATTAATATCCAAGATTAAAGCTTTTGCTTGTTAAATCCCCAGAAAAAATATCCTGAGAAAATTTGAGGTTAAGCTCTTATGATGTTGCTATCTTTTAATATATTAACAAATTCAATTTCCTCTATGCCTAAATGATGTAAAAGGCTACTTTCGGGTAAAGAGTGAAATATACTAATGTTGTCCAAGATGGAAAAATGTTCAGTTATATTTTGCTTTGTGTATATGTGAAAAGCTACTGTAATGACTACAGAACTTTTACACATATATTTTAATTAAAGCGAAGCAACAAAACACTAAAGAAAAAAATTCTGTGGAATCAACCACAGGGCTTTTAAAAATGGTTTCAAAGAATGTTAAAAGCAATATAAGGGGTATTTAATTACAAATTTAGAACGTCGTGTGATAGATTCTTGTTAGAACAAGGGGCTATTGATCATTATGAAGAGTCAATTTCAAACTATCAATGTCAAGATTCCATCTACATATGAAGTACTAGTTTATTAATTTACATAAATAAATACTTTTCTAGACATCTATGCATAAAAACAAATACATGCAGAAATTAAAAAAAAAAATTAATGTTTGAATTCAGACCTCATCTTTGATAAATTGAACTTGACATGAAGGTTGTCCAAGATTTCATATTTCTCAGAAGAAGTAGATCTAGGGAAACTTGCCATCTCACTTTCCAGTTGAAACCTTTGCTCAAATTCTGCAGAGCTGTTGTCCCATGAATCATCATCTGTGGTAAAATCTGGATTATGAAGAGCCATACACTGCAACCTGTCACACATTTTCAGTAAACATAATAAAACAAAACAGCGTTTTACTTCAGCGGGTAGTAGATGTAACTAACCTTGCAGAACCTTACATTCACTCTGAGATATTTTCATGGAAAATTTCATAGAAAGAGACTTGTTCAGTACAGACCAAACTCCCCATGGTGACACAACTGGGTAGACTGGGCAGCAAGAGCAAAGACCCTGAGACATTTAGGTGCACCTGAGAGCACCAGCTCTCTGATACACCAGGCAGATGTACTTCAGGATTTGATGTGTAAGCTCCATCATCAGGACCTTCCCTATAGATCTGCTGTGCCTTTCAGTGCCCTTTATGTAGCAGCACATGGAGGAAATAAGAGCACAGAACCTGCAGCTGTCTAAGCTTAGGGTTCTCTAATCACCCTGACCTCACACCTTACATCCTTCCCTTCTCCTTTTTCAGCCCCTTCTCTGCTGCCAAGGTCCTCCAGAGTAATTCTCTGCTTACAGCCCCTGCTATACACTTTATTTCCCAGCAGGTTTGGTGTTAGGATATAAGAAAGAACCACATGGAATTAAACAGAAGAGAACTTAGAAAAAAAAAATATTTTGAGAAAAATGAAAGTAACTCACCCATTTTCCTCTGAGGAAACCTTCAGTAGTGGTGTCTTTTCTGTAAAAACAGTGCTTTTTGACCTCAAGCTGAATAATTTTGAAAAATTGAAGTGGTATCTTTGAAGGGAGAAAGAAAAAATACAGAATAGTAAGTCTGCAGTAAAATGATTCACTACAGATCTACAGAATATTTTGCTACAAGTCCATCTAATTAGTTAAATATTCTTTAAGAATGGTGTTCACCTAAATTAAGGTTTTCATTCATTAAGTTTGAACTGGTCATGGTAGTTACTTTCTTATACTCACAGGGGACTCCTCCATATCAGTTTACACTAGCATACCTCATAAAATATGAGATATTAGAAGAATTTATTTTCCACAAACATTATTTGAGACATGGATCACCATCTACAAATCCACTAATGTCTACAGTAACCTTGGTACTCGGTATTAGGGAAGAAAATCTGAATACAAGTACTTCGTTTCTGCAGCACAATCCCTTCCAAATGGTTTCTGTCAAGTCTTTGTCCTGGTGTTGCAGATAATTAAACAGAGTGTAAGAGACTTTTTGCCATATTCCAGCTTAGCATTGTGAAAAAGCTTTTTTTTCTCAAGTGTAATCCCCAAACTTAAGATGCAGCTGAAGACAATCAATTACAATCACAGAGGTTTGGCTTTTGGGGAGGCTTCTGGGAGAGACTAAATAATTGAGCCATTTTAGAACATCTTCCCATGACCAGGCTCTTTCAGAGACATTTCCTATCAAAATCAACATTATTCAGGTAGACTCAGATTTATTCCATTCAAAAATGTAGCGTCCCACCACCAGAAAGTCAAAATGCAGATCTCAATACACCCAGAGGAAACCCATTTAGAGGAAACACAAAATTTCTCCCACTATTGTTGGACTGTGAGGGGAAATAAATTATAAAATCATAGACTTCTAAATAAATACACAACAGTGACTCGTTATTCTATCTTCTAAATATAAGGACTGCTCAAAAAGAAGGATTTGCGTATTTTATTTTATAACAAGATGGAAGACAGTGAAGTTTCTTGCAATTTGTAGAGCTGTGTCTGAACTTCATAAACTTAAAACCTCCAGGTACTGCTTTGTTCAGTAGTGTTTTCAGTCAGAAGATGTGCTAGGTGGTTATTTCAGCCTTGAGTGGCCACAATGCTGATTCAAACTCTGCTGTAAGCCACATATTTTCAATCTCACCTGAAGAAAGTGAATGAGTTAGATTCAATTACCCAGTACCTCAGGTCAAATGTTGGGCAGATTACAACTCAGGTGCTACATTGCACTGACACTGTCTGTAAGGAGATGGTTGCATACTCTGTAGCTACCAAAGTTCTTCCTTTTTAAGCAGGAGAATATAATTCATGCAGGAGAAAGTCTTAGTGGAGAAAGTGGTATTTTGAAGCAAGTGCTCTTCTAATCTCATCATGGCTTTCAATATAAAAGGCTACCTGAGTTTCTACAAAATGGAACCCATAGGGATAGCAAGAACACTATCAGGACTTTAAAGGTGTGCTCACCAAGCATTGCTGATATAATCCTGGCTAATCCCACTATGCTCAAAGTCTGCATCCATAGGGGGCAATTTTTATAACAATTCTGATGGTGGACCTTGAATGTGTGCATTCAGAAATTTGACTCATGAAAACACCCTTTAGCTGTTTCTACTTTTAGACACAACAGTGTCACTTGTTCCACTGGAAAAAAAGTCTTCAAATGATATATAATATATGCTGTTCTGATATTACCTCACCTTGTCCACACTATTAATCTTTCCACACTTCCTTTTGCTTTTGTCTTCCTAGGATATGTAAATTCTGAGACTAGTAACCAGACACTTTCTATAAAAACTACCATTTTCTTCTGCTTGTTAGGGTTTGACACCAACATTGCTTTATGCTACACAGGCACATGTATATCCACTGACAATCCACACCTCAGCAGCCCTTCACCATTTCTGTTATAACCAGTCCACAAAAAGTGCTGAAGGGCAAAGCAACCACAGGAATGGCAACAAGAAAGGGAGTATAAAGGTCAGGGGGAAGGTGGCTTAAGTGACAGAACCTGAGCTGAAGAATCCAGAATGCTAATTAAAGACATCACCTTCACTTAGATATCACTTTCGCTTTCTTCTTACACTTTGTTATCCCCACTTGCTGGTGTAGGTCCTGTCACTTTTACATGGAACTGTGGAGCTGAACAGATGGCCAAGAATGATGAAGACAGTAAAAATGGAAAAGGTCTTCAGATAAAGTAAAAACAATTAGTACATGACAACAACAATTTGCAGAGAACAAAAACACATGGACAAAAATAAGCAGCAGGAAACAGCCAGGCTTGACAAAACAAAAATAATTAGAGAAAAAGCAGAAGAGCCTTAACTCCCCCATGATGTGATTACTCTAATTAGAGAATGAGAGTAATATAAACAATAAAGCTAATTAGGGCATAAAAGAATCTTGAAGGCTGAAAGCTACAGAAAGAAAAGTTGTAAAAACATCACTTAAAAAATAGCATGGATTATAAAAATTAAAGCCATCCTTGGATTGAGAGCCTAGTGCAAACCCCTCTGTGCCCCTCATATTTCTGCAGAGATGCTGGAGGTGCAATTTGATCATCCACTTAATCCAAAGATAAGAGATCTGCAACCAAAACCCAGGAATATACAAAACCCCACCCTGGTAGAGGAAGAAGCCTGCAGTGCTAAAAAAACCATTTTAGCATCATTCTTGGTCCTCCTCAACCCTGCAAGTAGCTGATAATTGGGACACTGTGTAAAAAGGAAACAAATCAAAACAAATCAAAATGTAACACGTGTCAAAAACTGGGGTCAGGCCGCACTTCAAATGTTTCTTTCTGATCAAAAAACTAGAAACTGGTTATATTCACATGCTGGAATGGAGTGCAATCCACTTCTACTGAGCAATTCAGCAACGTTACCAAGAGGCTAATCACCATGTCAGCTCATTAACCCATTGTGGGCAGGCCTGTTCACAGGATGAGAACACCGCTCTAGATTTCTACTGTGTGCTGGCAAGGTTCTGGTAAGCTGGACGCCACTAGTGTTCGCAGTTCTTCTCTCAGGGTTCAGACTCAAAAATCATTAGCATTTTCTACATCAAATACGAGACTCAGAATAGCTCGTGTTGGTCAAACTAGTCCTCTGGAGAGCAGGAATTACCTTCCTGCCATCAAGCACCAGACCTGCACTCTGACCACATTTTCAGGCATTTCCTAATGGTGTTTACACCTGTGACTTTAAACAAAAGGAAAAGGAAGACTTTGTGGTGGGCCCTGATGTTCAGCTATAAGCAACATTTCAATCCCAAATGCACTACAGCAAAGGACACCAAAAGAAATAAACATCTTACAAGAGCCTGAGACAGCAAAAGACCATAATCACCCTAGTTAGGCTGCAAACACTTGAAATAATCACTTGACCTGACTGGAACCTATTATTTAGCCTTGTATGGAAAAGATTAATCATGGTACACAATGTATTGCTTTCATTTGTTATAATATAACAAGGACACATTTTAAATACCAGCTAATATAATGCTTCATGTCCCATATGTAATGCCATCCACACAACTATCAGATAGGGAGCTATTTCTGTGAAAACAGAAAGCAATAATTCTCGCTTCCATGGGAAAGATTTGGTCAGAATTGAAGAACAGGTGAATATGGAAGCATACATATTTTGCAAGAACATCAACAGTTCTTACCATAACTTATAAAAATTTCACTATATACAAAATTAAAAAGATAATTCCTTTAGGGGGAAAAAAGAGTTAGCATGCTTCCCTGAATTAGTAATCAAGTTCTAAACTAGTAAATAAAGTTGTAAGCATGAGGTTGCCTCTCAAACAAAAGCTCAAGAATACTACTAAGCCAAGAGTTTATAACAAGTACAACAACTAAGCAAAGTTTCCTAGAAAAGAAGAAGTCCAGAGTAAAAGTATGAGAGACAATTAGTCATGGAGACTAGTCAAAGCAGCATGAATTAAATTTATCATTACTACATTCTTTTAGAATGAAGTCTAATTTCAGAAGCTTCATCTTCCCTAAATAGAAAGCATTTATACAAATCATATGTATTGAACTAATTACTCTTAACTGTAAACAAGCATAATGCAGAAATAAATTGAAAAACAGAGGTTAAGAAAAAACAAACAAACAAACAAACAAACAAACCACAAATAAAGAAAGCCCCAGACTAGCTTTTGACTGCACTTGAAGCCCATTCTTCCACCATATTTGTGAGTTTCTGATAAAGTCTGTTTTTGGGGAACAGTTTCATGGTATAAACCCTGCTGACCAACATCAGAGCATTCAGCTCTTAAACATTTACTGTGCACTCAGCAGCTGTATGCATACATCTGACAACTTTATCATATACATGTGCTCACACAGAGGCACAACCCTCCCTGATGATTTCTCCTCAGCAGTAGCACACCATGGGGAAATTGTTATGACTACCCATCACAAATCAAGTATGGCCAGCTGATAGAGTCAGGGGAAGGATCAAAGACTCCAGAGCTCACATCTCTAAACAGTTTCCAGTATTTCCGGATGACTGCTTTTTTTTTTAGCTTCACCAAATCAGCAAATAAACTTCAGAACCTTTAAACCCGTGCACCATTAAGATGTCAGAAAAAATGAGCAATGAAAGCATTATTTAATACAGACTCATTTTCTATTTGACTTTTCTAATTTTCTATTAGACAGGACTGTACAGGATCCTGCAGAGGAATCCCCAGAGAGGGATCCCGAAGGGCTGGCAATACCTGACAGCACGACACTGTGAGAGGTACAGCCAGCTGTCAGGTCTCATTTTGAAAGACACTGAGGTGCTGGAGTGTGTCCAAACAGTAAATAAGATGGTGAAGGGTCTGGAGCACAAGTCTTATGAAGAGCAGCTGAGAGAACTAGGGTTGTTTAGTCTGGAGAAAAGGAGAAGGAAAGGTCAGGGAAGACCTTATCTCTCCCTGCCTGAAGGGAGGTTGTAGTGAGGTGGGCGTCAGTCTCTTCTCACAGAAAATGGGAGGACGTGAGGGAATGGCCTCAAGTTGTTTCAGGGATAGTTCAGATTGGC